AATTAAATTAAATTAAGAACAATATTAATTTTTTTCTTTTTAAAGTAACAAAATCTAAAAATTCAAAGGTAATTATATTCAAACAAAGAAAAACAATGTCTTATAGGAGAAAAAAATTAAAATTTGACCACTTTACGTGGAATCACCCATATGCGGCATTCTTCGTCAACTGAATCTCCCCTCTTGCCAGAATTGGTTCAATATATAAATATTTACTTTTAAATGTTGGGTCGCATTTTTAAAAATCCAAAATGGCGGATCCAATATGGCAGACGAAGTTTTGAAATATTATTGGACTCACTTGAAATTTGTTACTCGGGGGTTCTTGGGTCGCTGAGGACGAATAGTTATGACTACGAATTTTTTAAGCTTAAAAATGGCGGATTTAGTGAAGCGAATTCGAAATTCTTTTAAAATTTCCGCCATTTTGGATCCGCAATTGTGAATTTTGAAAAATTCGTGGTCAGAGGCGTAACAAGTTTCGAGCGAATCAATAAATTTTTAAAAAGTTTTCCCCCATCTGGATTTCAGAAATGCTCTTTGTCATTCCGCCGTAAATATTTGTACCGAATTTTCAAGTTTATAACCGATTTGATTTACTTGAACCAATTTTAGAGAGAGATAACGTAACTATCAGAAATGTATTGGATCGGCCATTTTGAATTCAATTTTTTCTTTTTAATTTAGGGATTATATTCGTTTGATTATACACTTGCAAGTGAATCCAATTATCAAAACTTTGTCCTCCATTTAAAAATAAATGTTTTTACTGAATTTTCAAAATTATAGCCGATTTTTTTTTTACCTGAATTAATTTTGCAGAGAAAAGGCTTCATATATACTGAACTTGTTATTACAAATATTTTAAGCGCTGTAGTGGTCTTGGCCGAATACTAAAATTCGCCGAATGACTAGTAGTAAATCTCTTTATGCCGTTTTATTATGGTTTAGTAGCAGTAATACATGCGCGCGCTTTCTGTCGCTCTACTAATAAGTTGCTGCTTAACTTAAGTATATAAATTTTACTCTATCTCTTACTTTTTAAAAATTTAGCAGTTTCATATAATTAATTTGACTACTTGCATACCACTTGGCATAATGACAAGAATTATGTATGACACGTGAGTCGCATGCCAAGCGCCTACTTACATACATATGTATGTAAGTAGCTGCTATATAACCCACATATCAACACAGCAGCCGCACTTCCACTACTGTCAGTAGAGTACGCGTGTAGTTGAATTGCGGCTTCTCGACTACAGCCACTGATGTCATCTCTAAATTATGCTTAGTTACACCCTGGAGCACATCAAGTAGCGCCAACACCAACTTACCTTCACACATATTCCCAGTATAGCCGGGTCGACATGCACAGTAGAAGGAAGCGCCACTGGTCCAGCATGTGCCGCCATGCTTGCAGAGATTCTCGTTGCATTGCTGTGTGTGGGTGTGTGTGTGTAAATGAGAAAAAGTGAAAAGTAAAATTTAATTATGCCAGTAAATTTTCTAATGTGTAAAATATGCATATACTATATAAGTAAAAGCGTGTTAGTGTGTATGTGTGTGTGCGCGGATAGAATATTAAATTTCGTCCTGAAGTCAGCCAGTGTGGACGTTGCCATAATGAGGATTTAATGTGTGGTTAGCATGGCGCAAATTATTATAAATTTTGTTAATTATTTCAGTGGATGGAGGCTGCGGAGAAATATGAACTTAGTTTTTTGATAAATGTTTGTGATAACTAAGGCGATAAGTGATGTTTAGTATTTATTTAATGTTGATGGAATTGCTAATAAGCGAGTTTCATAAATTTTAGGTAAAGTTTAATGTGACATTCTTGACCAGGACATTGCTATCTACATAAATTCTAAAGTAAATTTTTCGATCACGCACAAGACTACTTACTGAATGTCCATTGTGTTACCACTAAAAAGAAAATATTATCTTGGAACGATTGGATCTTGGAAAAGATTATCTTGGAAGGTAATCAAGAAAAGTTAGAAAAGCACTGGGTGCTGGTTATGAACTTCCGCAAGCAGTTGCTGCCAACTCTAGAGAATTCTCCTGGAGCAACCATGAAGTACGACACGAGATGTTTAAACCTAAGCCTCAGCCAAAGGCAGGGCAGCTGAGAGGAGAGTGTTGAGATGATTCCACCTCATCGTCCTCCAGACAGTTGCTGCACATCAGGTCCGCAGCCATATTAAGCCGTATCGCATGATTTTCCATGGGGCAGCACCCAGTCAGAACGCCTATCAAAACCAAGAGTAAGCTGTAAAAGTTTCCTAGACCGCCCAAGATCAACTACCGTCCAACAGGACCTTGCATGTCTATGTTTCCGCCGAGTGTTCGCTGAGCTGACTAAAGGCCCATTTGTCCAGAAGCAGTCTGCAGGTTGCCATGGTAACCCAATGACTTCCCTTTTGCAGGTGATGGCTTCTAAGGTGCCCTGCCTGGCCAGTTAATCGGCTGTGCCTCGGAACCCAAATGAGTCTGATGTGGAAGTAATCCGAGGCAATAGATAGAGAAAGGCCGCGAAGTCGCAGACTAGTTTTGATCTTACGATCAGCGATCCCAGGGATCTGATCGCCGCTTGGCTGTCAGAGTATTTAGTTATTTATTATCTCTCTAAACGATATTTCACAAGTTCGCAACCAATTGGCAGCTGTTTTAATGACAGATATCTTTTCGTGAAACACGCTACATAAATCCGGTAGCTTAAATTTAATGTCCAATAAAATAAATTCCTCACTGCATACACATCCTTCTCTTTCAACCCACTTTTTTTTGTGAATAAGGCCATTAAGGTATAAAAAAAGGGTTAGCAGCATTTATTTCGTCAAAAATTACGATAAAAAACTCGATAAATATATCGATAAATATATTGATAAAAATATTAATAAATATATTGATAAAAATATCGAAAAATGCCGATAAATTAATCAATAAAAATATCCATAAAAACTAGAAAAACATATCAAAGTCGATATACATATGTATGTATATAATGAAAATTCCGAAATAGGTCCGACAATCCTGAAATACTCCCACGAATCCTGAAATAGTTATGTAAATCCTGATTTAGTCCCGATAATTTCTAAAAAGCCGAAATAGTTCGCAAATTGAGGTGTAATGAGAACGGGTAAGACGAGTTCAGTTGTGGTGTGTTAAGGTTTGGTGCATTCAGGTGTGGTAGGATCAGGGGTGGTTAGTTTAAGTAAGGTGTAGGAGAGTTTAGGTGAGTTGTGGTAAGATAAGTTGATGTGAGTGTAAGGTAAGATGCTATTTTTTTTAAATTCCTCAATATGCCTAAGTATTTTCTCTCATCACGCTTTGGAAAATCCACGTTATTGAGTTTAACGGGTGTGCAGGTTTTACGTTTAAGGGAAGGTTATTCTTTATTTTTCGAAGTAAGCAGTCATGACATACTCGTTTGAAAGCTTCAGATATATCGATAAATGCAGCTGTGGAAATTTTTTTTTTATTCGAATGCAATTTGAATGCAATTCGCAAGCCTGTGCACTAGTTCCATTGTGCTTTGTTTTGTTTTTTCTGAAACCGAATTAGTGAATTCTTTCGATCTTTTATTACTGGCATCTTGATGGGTAGCAAACTGATCGGCTGATATGACTTAAGTTTGTCTGCACTTTTTTCTGATTTAGGAATAATTTTTACTTGGGAAAATTTCCATTGAGGTGCAGCGAAACCTTATGAGAGATTGGGTTATAAATGCAAGTCAGGAATTGTTTTAGTATTTCTCCAGTAATTAGATCATCGCTTCCTTAACTTCAAGTTTTGAGCATTTTTTTATAGGGGGTCCAGTTGGTGGGGTTGTTCGAGAGTCTGTCTTACTTTTTGTGCAGTATTGATATAGTGTTCAATTTGGTGTGGATTAAACACGATTTTTAGATGATGTGCAAATTTGCTTGCTTTTTCGAGATCGCTTTTAGCTCATTGGTTGTTTTCCATTCTGATGGCGGATTGTGCCAGAGTTGGTATCTTTAATTGTTTTGTTGCTTTCTAGACAGAATAGTCGCTAGCAGCTGTTGTCTATAGGTTACTGAGATAACGATGAAGTTGGGAGTTGCGTTCTCTTTGCAAGAGATCTTTGAGTTTTCTCGTTAGCTTATTTAATCTAATTTTGACATTGGGGTGTCTAGCCTGGCATTTTTTTTTTTCGGTAAGTTTTTATTTTACAAGGAAAAGAGATTCTTGTACATATGCCCCATAATGTTTCAATTAAAATTAATAAGTATATATTTCTTTAAACAGCTGTAATGCAACCGAATTGAATTTTTGTTGGTTTTTTCTTAAATTTTTTTCCAATTTACGGGTATATAGGATTACGCTTGAAAATAACCGAAATAAGTAAGTTATGCTATGTGAACAGAGTAAATGCATTCCAAATTAGTGTCTTATGAAATTTATGTAAAAAGAATCAGTAAAATACTGAAATTAAAGGCTGCTCTAATGCTTTTTAACTAAGTCAATGATTAGCAACTTGTACTAAACTAAATTTACTAAAAACTCATTAAAAATTCAAAGAGGTTGTTATGAGACTTCAGTTGATGCGCAAGTATTAGTGGCTGCCTTTGTGATTGCTTTGCAAAGATTTTTAGTGAAAAATTGCATTTTCTTTTACCTCTAATTCTTCGTCAAAGTAAACAAATCTGGTGAAACAAAAAAACAGTGATGTAAATTGATTTCAGCTGCTTGGTTCACATGCCCTATTTCATTTGAAGCAAAGAGAAAATCTTTATGATGGAAAATAGTGAAACTATGTAAAATGTTGCGCAAAACTAATAACGCTCATACATATGTATGTATGGCTAGATGTATGTATATATGTTAATATGAACGATGAAGGGCAAACAAATAGGGATGCGATGTTTTAACAAGTTTTGACTATTTTTTACAAGCTTTTATTTAACTTCACTTATATGTATGTACATCCTAGAGACTTCGAACTCAAAACTAAGCTCATAACCCGATGAAAATGCAATATGAAAAATGAATTAATCTGTTATCAGAGTATTGAGTATATGTATTCTCATATAACGTTTTTTTCGAAAAATGCAAAAACTATGATATTTCAGTAAACGTTTGATCGAAATTATTGAAAATTAGTATGTAAAGTAGAATTTTAGTACAAAATAATATTATGCAATTTTTGCAAAAGGGGTGTGAACCCGCCCACTTATGATGATATACTGTATATGTAGTAGCCGCTTCACGAATCCTTACCAAACTCGGTACGAGCCTTGCTAAGCCCAGCTAAGAATTTCAAAGAGCTATGTATTTAGGTATTTATTTTGGGATTGAAAATTGATTAGAGGAGTCATTTAATACTCCATTTGATGAAAAATATAGTCCACTAATAAATCAGTTAAATAAGCAAGATAGCTTTTCAAAACAAAACTAAATGTCTACCAGTCCGATAATACAAAAAAGGAAACTAGTTTACAATTCCCTTCATACCTATGTATAGTCATGGGTACTACTGTATGTATGTATGTGTGCCTGTGGCATTTTGTTATGCATAAAAAAAAAAAAATATTTGCATAAATCATGACTTACCTTTCGTGGCATTTGATTACAATCCAGGCCATTGCGTCCTCCCGGGCATTCACAGCTAAAATCATTTCCGTGATCCATGCAGCGATGTCCATCCGGACAGGGTTTGTTGGCGCAAAAATCCACCTAAATAAATAGGAATGGACACGAAAGCATAGATGGTTAAAGGAGATACAGTATGAGCGTATGTATTTACACAGATACATAAGTATATTTTGAATGCATTGATTATGTATGTATGAAAGGTATTGTATATTTATAGGACACAATTTTGAACAGCGCGGCAGTCTATGATGCCTTATGAATAAATAAAGCACTAAAGGAAGAAAATAGTAATCAGAAAATTGCAAAATTTTTGGCGATGTATATTATGGTTAAATATTTTTCGTTTTGTTTTTGTATCTGGGTACTGGAATTGCTTTCATACAAGCCTGAGTGAGTTATTTATATTATATTTGACTTCGCATATGGTAATCGAAATGCACCACATAATTGGCGGACTACATTTACACGGCCACACTAATGCTCTATGTGGTTTGAAAGATAAAATGAAATGTAAGTGAAATCAATTCGACATCAAAGTAGTAGACAAAATAAAGTACAAACATAAATAAGTATTTCGATAAGTGTACTGCACGAAGTTGTGGAAATTTCATTAGCGAACCCCAAATTGCTTGCGAAAGAGGGTGACAACCAGAAAAACAACAAACTGCCGCACCTAAAGATGATGCATAGACCAACAAAGTTAACTGCAAATTAAGTTATTTGTGTACCAAGGGACCACAACTACTCTCTCAAATTAACACAAAACCTACACAAACTTACATGCACAGTTAAAGGTAGCAAGAAAAAAAAAGTCTAATAAATTCATTCACCTACATACATACATACATTTAAAGTTGTAGCTTACCTTAATTTGACAACGCGCTCCGGTATATCCTTTGGTGCAGCGACATTCGAAATTGCCAATGTGATCGATGCATTCGCCATCATTTTGACATGGATTCGATTCGCATTCATTATATTCGAAATTGCAAAGCTCACCAGCGAATCCTGCGATTCCACGGGTCGATGAATGCAATCACCAGACATGCGGGTATGGGTGTGTGTGTGTGTAACGGTGTCGTAAGGATAATGGCAGCCAGCAGCAGTAGCGGCAGCATCAGTAGCAGTAGCGGTAGTCGTTTTGGTAACGACAAATATATGGGTGAAATGGAAGAGAAGAAAAGGAGGAAAAAAATGTAGTGAAAGAAAATAGATATTCAGTATTGGCATCAGTAAAGAAACGAAACCTAATGGAAATGTTTTTAATGAGATTTATGCAGATGATATGTCACAAATGATTTATGAACTGGAAAATGTGTGTCAAAAATATAAACGCGGTGAGGAAAACTACTTAAAATTGCATGACTTCTTATGCAGTATACGAAATAATTGTGGCATAAAGAATTTATTACTTAGTTATAATTGTTAAGGTTTGCAGCAAGAAAAGTACTAGGATTACCAGTTACTGTCCAAATTCAACCGTTTTTCTAGTTTTTAAAGAGCCTTGGAGAGGTTTTCTAACTTAAGTAGCACGCCGTTTAACTTACAAGGTAAAAAATTACTTACCGCAAAATCTTCTGCTTTGAAAATAAAACGTGACAACAATTTTTATATCTTTGGAGATCGATTGAAGACTTTGGAAGGACTTGGAATTGACACGATACATTCCATTTTTTCGATAAATTTCGATCATTTGTTACATATCGATAATTCGATGAATTTAAAAAATGCTATAGTCCGATAACTCAACAAAATTCGATAGTTCAACCAATTTCGATTAATTTCGATAACTGCGCATTTCGAGGGTCGAGCCCTCATAGTGATCCTCTCTTTTCTAAGCTCCTCTTTTAGATGCGCAGGGCCAACTGGAGTGATGACTGTCGTCTCTCTTGCGAAACCGTCAGCCGCCTCGTTACCCTCGACTCCCTTGTGACCAGGTACCCACGCTAACTTGATATTATTGTGTCTACCCAGGGAGTTAAGCTTCTCAATGCACTCAAGGACCAGCGACGATTTGGCCTCATTGGATATGAGGGGCCCTGAGTGCTGCCTGCCTATCACTTAGGATTATGATTCTCTCGTTTCTGCTTGAAAGATCCTCGGATATTTCCTCATAGGAACAGAAATCTTGGCCCTGGGTCCGAAAATTCCAGCACCGGTTCCTTCTGGGGTTTTCGAGGCATCCGTGGACCAGTGCAGAGTGCAACCCTGAAGTAGTGCCTCGAAAGCGGAGACACTCCAGGCTCTAGTGTCAATCTCTTCTCAAAGACTATGGTCTTGCCTATGTCATCTCTAGGTAACAGGGCTAGTGGGAGCGAGGACCCTAGCTTCTCCATACTCCTAGAGGAAATGACTTTACCTTTACCAAATCCCTCTCTAGCAATGTCAAGCAAAGTTCTTTTGGCTGCCTGCTCTATGGTTATATGAAGAGACTCATGTTCAAGGACTACTTCCAGCGCCGTCGTCGGACATGTGAGCATTGGTCCTGTTGTGCATACACATGCCAGTAGTTGTAGCTTGGTGAGCGATTGTCTCACCGTGGCTAGAGCAGTTCTTGAAACCCAAGATACCGCCCCATAGGTAATCATTGGCTATACTATAATGATGTATAGCCATCTTAGGATCCTGTGCGTACAACACCTGGATTTTCCCGCCAGACGCTTAAACACCATTAAAGCTTTCGTGGCCCTGGAGGTGATCCACATGTTTCTTCCATAAAAGTTTGGGGTCTAGGATTAGTCCCAGATACTTCACTTCGCTGGCGACGCTGACCACGACCCCCTCCAAGGTTATGTCTCTCATGCCCGGAAGGTCTCTTTTCCTAGTAAAAGGAATGCGAAGTGGTAGCGCGCACTGCTAACCACTGCAGCACAGAGGCTGTCAAAATTTCGATAACTCGATATATGTTGAAAATTCCAAAAAACTTCGATTCGATAAATCGGCAAATTTCAGCAAAGCGATAAATATCGATAAATCGATAAGTTGAAAGAACTCGATAAATTTCGATAACTATTAATAATGATAATTCGATAAATATCGATAACTTGATAAATTTCATTATTTTTATAGCTCGATAACTATCCATAATTTCGAAAATAAGCTTCTTGTCTACAAATTTCGACAACTCATTAAACATCAATTTGAATAATTCGATACGTTGCGGTAACTCAGTAAATATGGATAACTCGATAAATTTCGAAAACTATAAACTTTGATGATGCGATAAATGTCGGTAATTAATAACTTACGATAAGTACATTTTTTATGACTGAATTTATTTCGATTTCTATCGAAAAAATTCAATAAACTCGCACACTCTCGCAGTTGTCCTGATTCTTATGTATTTATCTCATTTTCGTCTTTATCTTTAACTTTTCTTTCACTTTTTTGTTCTAATCGTTTGTATAATTTTTTCTTAATCATCACATTTATCTTTATTACGAAGTTTAATTTTAAACACGAAGTAAAACTAAATGCGAAAACACCTGCAGTTAAACAGGATGCAACAACAACTACACACAAATACGGAAATTTTTAAACGACAATTTTGATCGTAATTTTCAACCAATTTTGAAACCTAGGAACTCTCCTCATCTACAGTAAAGTACTTTTTACAGTTTAAAGAAAAAACTATAAACTTACCAAAAGTATTTCTGTTACTGGAAACTTAAGTACAAAAATACAACTTTCTTTTTCGGAGTTTAATTTCGCCTTCTCAGCAATCTTTGCAATCCCACCTCTCCCAAATTTCAATCAATCATTGAGAGGCAGTCTGACGTTTGCCAACAATATAATTTTAAAATTCGAGCTCAGGCTCACACACACATTCTCATGTTTAATCTCAAACAACAACAATTGTGAACAATTTCATTTTTTTATTTTCAATTTTATATGATTTTAAAATGTTTGCAAACGTCAGAAAAAAATCATGGCCGACGAATTGAGAGAATGGTTTTACCTTCTAATGTTTTTATCATGTTTCAATCTATTTATTCTGCTTAAGCTTAAGGAAATATAATAATAAAATATTGATATGAAACAACAAGTGTTGGTATATGATTTTATATAGCCACATAAAAAAAATATTTTAAAAAATGATATAGTATAAAAAGACTAATAACTTTTTTTTTTTCAAAGTAAAATTTATTATTTTCGGTGATTTCATCTACTTTTCTTTGTTTTATTTGAAATCATAACGTTGAACTGAACCTCACGTTGACAGAGGTTTGGGAGAAGCTAGTTAATTACATAGTAAATATGAAACAACTTGTACTTTTTTCTGTCTCAATTCAAAACTAATTTTTTATAGTACAATAAATGTTTGCCTTAAATTTGCACATTATTTACGAAAACGCTCAACTTTCCAATAGCAGAAAGAGCAAGTTCTAACCACACTTTTAAAGTGGATATTCACATCACAAGATGATAAAAATTACATTCGCTATTTGGCGTTATAAGGGAATTTCATTAGCGCAAGTTATTTTGGTTATATGCTGCAATTTATGCGCATAGAAAATTTCGGGTCAATTCCAAAGAAGCATTTTTGATGTGGGTTCAGCGCTCAGGGCAGACGCATAAATACAAATTGAAAGTGGCGCCAGTAAAAGTGTAGTAGTAAGTAGCCATTTGGTTGACAGTTGTTAGATGGTTTTGCATTTTTTTTGTTTTCAACTTCAAATGTTGTTTACATTTTGTTTTGATACTTTAGCTGGAGCTGACTGGGGAGACTGGGGTTGTCGGTACGCATTTGCATTTTCATTTATTTCTTTGTTTGTCTTGCGCTCCTATGAGAGAGACATTTGCATAGGTTTTCTTTCTTTGTTAGATATTTGTGGAATTTACGTACGCACACCTTTTTTTCTATTTAGTTACACACATACAAATAAAATAAAAGAAAAAAACACTTTTTACTTCTTCTTCTTCTCCATTTCCATTGTAATGCTACTTGTTTATTCCCAAATGTCGCCATCACTTAGGCTATTGTATTTTTGAACTCCACCGTGTCGAACTCAATATTGATTTGCGTCACATTTTACTGTATTCTAATTGAATTTTTCATTTCGCCTTCGTACAACGATTGCCACTTGAAGTGCTCGTTCATTCGGCATTCATCATTTACCAACTAAATCTCGTTTGTCATTCGAACAATTCGTGAATTTAATTTGTTTACTTGTTTCGTGCGAAACGCTTGAATGTCAAATAAAATGAATGTGATGCGTTGTCGTTTGTTATCAATTTACGTTGAATGGAGTTGTGTACTCGCCCAGTAGAAAACGGTTGTATGCATTCATGAAGAATGCTTGCTATATGAGTGAATCAGTTTGAAAAAGTCATGAATTTCCACGAATAAATTCAAATTCTAGCGAATTGCAAGCGAATGAATGTACGTTGTCGTTGTTTTGAGTACATTTCTTGATAAATTTGAAGTGGAATTTTTGTAATATTTTCAGTCTTGTACAAAAATTTTAGTGAACGGACGTGTTGTGCGATACTATTTTCAGCACAAACGGGCATTTACAAGATATGCATTTGCATATGTAAGTGCTACTTTTTTGTATGGCCCCGTATATTAAAATGTATCAGAGAATTAGCATTTACATATGGGGATACATATCTTGTAAGAATGCTTTAATACTGTTCCATTACTGCATTTTTGTATGTTTGAAATATTAATGCAGCCATATGCATACAGCAGTAGTACAAGTGTATGGTTAGAGTACGCATACGCTCTGAGAAACCACGCGTGTTAAATGGAAATAAAGGTTCATTTATACTGGCATGTATACACAGCAGCAAGCTCATGCCACCAACAGCAATGTCGTATGCATAAAATTTCTACTGGGAGGCTTCTACATATGCAGCACTGCAGCGCATTATGTAGCTAGAATTCCATTTAAAATGGATTCGCGTACCAAATCCGCAAAATCCAATCTGCGCACGAGTACAGTACTCGTTTTTGTGTTGTTTTAGTAATAGGGAAAAGTGTTCCCTCTATCATTTAAACACGCTCGTTACATCGGTAACAAGCCCACCGTGTTTGTTGTTACAGTCGCCTAATGGCCATCATGTCAAGTTCTCCGCGGAAAATATGTTTCACTTCCCTCTTCCTCGGTTCAGCTCCACTTATCCCGATACCCTCCTCAGTTTATGAGTCATCAGTGTAGTAGGTTATCATGTTTTGTTTTATCCGGTATGTTTTGGATATGCCTGCCCACCTCTTCTTATTACTTCGATCTTATTACTTGCAAGGCAATTATAAGACAATTGAAAGACAGTAGGCAAGATAGTTTAAAAGATTCTGGTATCAAAGTCTTATCTATTTTACAAGTCTTAATTATGTTTCCCGATGAGCTAGAGACTTGAAACTTTAAACATAGCTCAGAATCTAATAACAATGCAATGTGAAGGATAAATTAGTCACTTAGCACGGGTGTCGAGATATTTGAAAACCCCGAATTATGGACAAATATAGTTCATATTTGGAATGTATGTTGGATGCATTAAAACTATTTTGCTCGATAGATGGCGCAG